CTGACAAATAAAGTATTATTAAATGGTTGTCATTCCTCACCATCCAGTCAGAACTGAAGAAGCTTCTTAGATGAGAAGCGAAAGATCTTAAAACCAGAAAGTCTAGTGCCTCTCGGGGGGGGGGGGAAGCACTTTTGGAAGAAGATGCGATTGTTTCAATCCACATTGGGGGACGAAGCAAACAGGACCTGCTCCCAGGGCAAGGCAGGATTACACCGGACTACAAAACTTTGAACAGAACATACGATGGTTCCAATTCACATTGAGGGACGAAGACTGGGGGGTGGAGGGTGGGAGTTGGGGGAGACCTTGTCACCTTCCTCCGGCTCTTACCAACCTGACCTCCAGCCGCCCGCTCAGCGGTGGCCAGAAGCGGAGCGAGCGTCAACCAGGAGCTTCCAGGAGTCAAGGCTGCGCGCGGCGCTCGCCTCTCCTTCGGGAGACCCGAGAGATGCCTCCTGCCCCGCTCGCTTCGGATTTGCAAATAAGGCAGCGGGTTGAGTTTTAGCCCTAGGCGCCTTTACCTTCGTATAAGCCCCCTTCAGAGCGAAGCTTTCCGTGCGAATCCAAGCTCCAGCTGAGAGACTCGTCGAACCCAGCGCGCTTACCTGCCGGCTCTTTTCCCCAGAAGCGAACTTTGTTTCTCCTTGCGCGCTCGCGGAACCGAGCGGGAATTACGGTACCCGAGGTGTCCTTTCTGCTTGCGCAGCGGCGGCGCGAGTAGAGCCTCTGCCTCTGCCTCTGCCTCAGCAGCAGCAGCAGCAGCAGTAATAGCAGGTGCCGGCCGAGCGCTGAAAGAGGCGGCGTTAATTCTAGAATAACCCCGCCCCTTGCTTCGCTTGTCAGAGCCTCTGGCTTGCCCCTCCTCCTCCCCTTGCTTTTTCGCCCGTGTTGTCGTTCATCGGCAAAAGGCGGGGCTTGAACGCAACCCTAGCTGGAAGCCACGCCCCATGTGCTTCGAAGCTCCGCCCTAACACCATGTATGGGGTACAGACGCGGCGGTGTTTTCTGCAAACGTCACGAGGAGTTATCTTTTGACTCCGTCCAGGAATTAAGCTTGCCTTTCTTGACGGAGTAATACGACAGCGGCTGGTGATGGAGTCAATTCAGCATATTAGAGCAGCAACTTAACGGGTTTAAAAAAAAAGACCCAAGGACGAAATCATTAAATTTTTCTTCCTATGGAATTATTAATTTATATGTTTGAAATTCGCAAAGTTATTCTCCCAATGTTCCTTATAATAGTCAGTAGAATAGCATGTCCCTGTAATGTAAAAACCTTAATTATGATTATTAACACAGCTGTGTATAAGAAAACATCAAAGAGCACAGGTTACTGCAGAAGGGTGATTCTATAATTAAAATAATATTTAATTGAGCAACTTTGAGCTGGCTTTGTTGCAACTACTTTAGGTAGCCTCCTATTGCTAGTGTGCTCCAGATGGACTGAGGTTAGACCTCTGAACTGTGGATGCTGAATGTCAGATCCATGACTTTGCTGTTAGTTGTGAAGTCATGTCCTACACATCGCAACCCCATGGACAATGTTCCTCCAGGCCTTCCTGTCCTCTACCATCCCACAAAGTCAATTTAAGCTCACACCTACTGCTTCAGTGACTCCATCCAGCCGCCTCATTCTCTGTCATCCCCTTCTTCTTTTGCCCTCAACCTTTCCCAGCATTAGGCTCTTCTCCAGTGAGCCCTTCTCATTAGGTGGCCAAAGTATTTTGACTTTCATCTTTAGGATCTGGCCTTCTAAAGAGCAGCCAGGGTTGATCTCCTCTAGGACTGACCGGTCTGATCCCCTTGCAGTCCAAGAGCTAAGATTAGATCTTTCTTTTTCAACCTTGGCAATATGTGTCGGCTGAGGAATTCTGGGAGTTGCAGTCACACATCCTAAAGTTGAAAAACGTTGAACTAGATTGTAAATGACAGGTTTGACTTAGGATGCATCCAGTTAGTATACAGAAACCTAAATTATCATTAAATAAACAAAGCAAGATGAAGAACTCTTATCTCTTGGATGCTACCAAGTGGTCATCAGGATTATTGCAGCCCAGATCTTGTAGCCCTAGGCATTTGAGGCAACTTGAACATATTCTGAAGGACGCAAGGGAGAGGGGACAATGTTTGTGTAGTCTATAAGCATTCCATCCATCTTCAGGTTACTACTTCATTTAAACTTCCACTTTGTTAGGGTTATTCAGATCCTTGTTACTCAGATCTCTTATCTTCTATTTCAATCTGCTTTCCAAGTCAACGATAATAGAAAGCCATGATCTTGACAGAAGTATGCAACAACTGTTACCTAGGGCAAACAGACTGAAACATTCCTTAAGTCCAGGAGAAGCAAGATAGCATTCATTAGAGACTCGGGCAAATGCCTCCCTGATTCACTGAGGTATAACAGGGGAGGTACATTCCCAGCAGACTTGCAAGATTCTGTTGGTATAGCCTATTTCAATAAAGTGTCATTGTGGTCTTCCTGTAGAGTTGTTTTTCTGGTCTGGTCTACCTACTGGCACTGACAATAGGAGCGCTTTCTTGCATATTTCACTTGCATTTCTAGGTGTGTTTTATCATTTCTTGATTTTTTTCACGCTCTTGACACCAAATAGCAATACCATTTAGACTTATATACTGCTTCGTAGTGCTTTACATTCCTCTCTAAGTGGTTTACAAAGTCAGCATATTGTCCCCAACAATCTGGCTCCTCATTTTACCAATCTCAGAAGGATGGAAGGCTGAGTCAACCTTGAGCCTTCAATACTGAAATCTAACACTGTGCCATCAGAACAATAAGGTATATGTCCCTCTATCTTACTTGCATCTTGACTACAAGATGTAAGTAATCATCACCATGCATAATTTAGGAATGTTGCCCTGAATGTATTAATAGGGAATAGGTTCCATGAACCAACAGGAACTTTATTTTTAAATAAATATTCCTAAGATTGTAGTCTACACATCACATTCACATTAATAGAATTTCCCTAGGCTTGGATGACAACTGCTAATGCTCATGGGTAAAAATTGTCTTGCTTTCATAGGGATTCCAAAATGCATTTGTTCCAAAAATTCCAAAATCCAGCATTAGTCTTGGGCCACAGGACTAATCATATAATTAAAAAAAATAATTTTATCCACTGAATCCAATCCCATGCTTGGTGCAGAAATCCAAATTAAAGTTTCCTTGGCAGGCAGCAGATATGTTTAGCTTCTTTGTGCATATAGCTCAGAGGAACTCATCAGTCATCACTTTCTGAGTAATCAATTCCTTAATGAAACTTTTGTTATTGTTGTTGTTAGGAAGTTTTTCATAACTTTCAAACACAATCTGCCTTCCTATAACTTTGAGGCCTTTATTCTGTATCTTGTACTCGGAAACAATAATAAACAGATTTTTAATATAGTCTTTGGGTACTTAAAACATACATAGATAATCACTGCAACCATCATAAATGTGAGTCAGCTGTCAAGCGCTCAAATGTAAATCACATGACCATGGGGATGCTACAACAATCATAAGTGTGAAAAATGGTCATAAGACACTTTGTTTCAGTACTATTGTAACTTCGAGCAGTCATTAAAGTGCTGTAAATTGAGGACTATCTGTATCTTAACACCTACATGAAACTGGCTCTCATACCGCTCGATGTAGTGGTGGGCTGCTGCTGGTTCAGGTGAACTAGTAGTTCTAACCACTAGCTGCCCCCCTCCCCCAAACGGCCCAGCACTAGCATGTCCTATTTATCTCACTCTCTGACCTTGTTCCCCACCCACGAAGCCCAGCTGATTGCCACACTTCATTTGCTTTTGCTGTGTGTTTGAAGCCATGTGAAAGCGAGGAAGGCACACACTCACATTTCCAGTGAACCGGTTGCTAACATTTGTGCAGACGCAGAATTTCTTTAACTCCTCGGTCTGAGCATGCCCAAGATGGTGTCCTGTCGCGAGGAGAGCTTCGGGGAGATGATTGTCCTTCTCGGGGCTTGCAGGGGGTACCCTATTCCATGGTTGGCTCCAGGTCCAGCTATGAGAACTTCCTGGGACCTCAGGGGTACCCTTGAGCTGCAATTTCCTGCCTTGTAGCCGGAACGTCGTGAGTGAAACAGGGTGGTTGGTGGTGAATGGAGAATGGAGAGCGTCTGCAGCTGCCGGCATGGGTGTGGTTGGCGGCGGCGGGACGCCCTGTCTGGGGTTTCTGCCACTGCTGCTCCCCACACCGTGGTGTTATCCCGGTTGCTCCCCCGCCACCTTGCTTATGGATGTGATAGGCTGGATCAGCGGGGAGTGACCGAGGCAGTTGGCATGGATATTGATGCCAGCAGAAGATGGCTTCAGTAGTTGGCGTGGGTACAGTTGGTGTGGGGAGTTGTCCTTTGTTGTGGCCCCCTCTGGTATCACCACCATTGCCTGGGCCACCGTACTGTGCCATTTGGCCCCTCCCCTTGTGACACTATGGACTGGGTCAATGGAGTGTGGCCCTGGCGACGGATATGAGTGCGGCTGGCATGGACGGAGCTTAGTTGTTGGAGTTGTTGGAGCAGCCGCCGCTGGCGCCACTGTCGTTTGCCGCCATCACTGGCC